ATACCTGGAAGAGGATTTCTGCTTCTAGGACTTCCTGATGAGTTACTGTTGCATGCCAAAGAGTCCCCCGTCCATAAAGCTGCTCCCATTTGTAAGCATTTCCGTATCTGACTTGTCAGGTCAGGTCTGCTAGAATGGACTTGATTGAATTGTACAGAAAGACCTTTTGGCATTCTGCAGTCTATCTTAGTGGCTTATTGTCCTTTCCTTTAAGAGTGTCATATAGGGGTTTACCATGATCCCAACGTTAGGGATCCAAATACAACAAAGCCCAGCCATTCCTAAGAATCCTCACAATTGCCTTCTGGTGGTTGATGCAGTCACTCTAATGCCTCCCTTCCTTTTGGAATGTGTTTATTTGTCATAGATATTTTACAGTTGGTTGAGAAGTTTTCACTTTTCCTTTGAAGACTTTATATCCTCAGTCTGCCAGAAAGTTGAAAGTAAGGATTGTATTTTGGTCTGAAGCTTCCTTTGTTTTACTAGACATTAGGTATATTATTCATATATTGCAGTACAACTCCCTCATTTAATTGGCAGTCCCTCAAGTCCTTAGCTTAGGCTTGCCAAGAAGATGGTGGGGGATTCTTCGATCCTTGTGGGAGCACCATCCAACAATAGGGTTGATTCATATTAGTCTCTGGATTATCTCATTCAAAGGCAACCTTTCCTAGGCCTCAGGACTGAGTGGTATGCAGTAAAAGGGATCTTTAAGGTCCAGAATTGTAAACCAGCAAAAGACTCCAGGTAAGATTGTAAGCAAAAGTATACGGATTTGGCACTATGGGACGTATATCGTGTACAATTTAGTCACTGGGTCTCAGATCCCATGCAAACAATAATCTCTGACCCCTGGCTTTTATACTGGCAGTATTGGAGTATTTTATTGATACTGGTAGGTTTGATAAGGGGCTTCCCTGGTACCTCAGATGGTAGAGAATCTGCCTGCAATTCAGGAGACTCAGGTTCTATCCCTGGGTAAGGAAGACCTTAAGGGAATGGCTACCTACTCCAGTATACTTGTATGCAGAATCCCATGGATAAAGGAGGCTGGTGGGCTACAGTCCATAAGGTCATAAAAAGTAGGACACAACTAAACGATTAACACTGCACCACTGAGGTTGGATTAATTGGCATTTAATAAAAGTGGTTGTCAGAGGCTTTATACTTTACGTGCCTCTTTAAAGGCTATTGCTTTTTCAGTTCCGATACTTGGCACCAGGCTGGAGTTTTCCTATGACTGGGTCAGTGGTCTGGGCTCTTCCTGGCCTCCCCTCAAATCAAGCATTCTCTCTTACCTTTTGCAGAATTTATTCAGGGACATCTGAAGTTTGTCTTTCCATTGTCATAGCACAGCTTGGAGGGTGCAAGCTTGACCTAGGGAGGAGTACTTTAGTGTCTACTGTTTCTGGTGAGAAAGTCACTTGGGCATTTCACTTTGTTAGATTTTCCCCCAGTAAGGGGATAGGGCATTCAGGCAGATACAGAAAGCTGTGCCCTACATATGGTTTTTTTTCTCCCCCAATTATGTAAGATCTTAGGTAGAAAATGGAGACTATACATATTCGAATGCTCTGGATTGAACTCAATCATCTAGTGCTTTAGGAACTTGTTTCATTGGTTATTGCCCTGCCTGAGGGCAATTTAAAAGGTACTAATTTTAAATGTTTAAATTTAAATTAAACCTTTACAATATAATAAACCATCTACTCTTTTAAGCAAAAGTTTTTCGATCCCTATTTTACATATGAGAAAACAGAGGCACAGAGAAGGAAATTAACATTCCCCCATGCCCTCAATTTAGTAAGTGGCTAGACTGGGAATTGAACCCAGGCCGTCTGTGTGGTAGAATCCACGACACCAAACTGTTTCTCTGAAACAGGAGAGTAAGAAGGACCTTGAGGCTTCCCTGGTGGCTCCGTGGGAAAGACTCCGCCTGCCAAAGCAGGAGACCTGGGTTTGGTCTCTGATCCGGGAAGATCCCACATTTCGCAGAGCACCTCAGCCTGCGCATCACAACCACTGAACCGGTGCTCTCGAGCCGGGAAACCACAACTGCTGAGCCCCTGGCCCCGACTACTGAAGTCCAAGCGCCTCGAGCCCATGGAGTGCAAGAGGCGAAGCCACACCGTAAGAAACTCACATACCGCAACTAGAGAAAAGCCTGCGCAGTAACGAAGCCCTAGCACAACCGAAAAGTCAATTTCTAGTTATAAAGACGAACAGCTTTTCACCGGGTGCTTGCTGCTATCTAGAGGAGCACGGTGAATTGACATATGCAGGATCTGAGATATTGTCAGAGAGGAAAATGAAAGTGTTAGTCACTCAGTCGTGTCTCACCCTTTGTGAACCCATGGACTGTAGCCCGCTAGGCTACTCTGTTCATGGAATTCTCCAGGCAAGAACACTGGAGTGGTTTGACATTCCCTTCTCCCAGAGACTAAACCCGGGTCTCCTGCATTGCAGGCAGATTCTTTACCGTCTGAGCCACCATGGAATGCCCATCGGAGAAAGAGGAGAGATCCTCAATGGGAGCGGAGAATGAAACATTGAAAAGAGCCCGGTTGTCTCAGCACAAAGCAACAAGCACATCTTCTGGAAATTTAAGTGAAGAGACTTCATCCTCATTTAAAATAAAAATTCAAGTGCCGTCATGATGAAATGGGAAAGTTAATTCCTTCGTAGCCAAGCTTGTTTATATCGTTGTAAATATTCAAACCAAGACTTAGTCGCTCAGTCATGTCAGACTCCCTGTTATCCCATGCATTGTAGCCCACCAGGCTCCTCTGTCCATGGAATTCTCCAGGCAAGAGTACTGGAGTGGGTTGCCATTCCTTTCTTCAGGGTATTTTTCTGACCCAGGTTATCAGACCCAGGTCTCCCACATTGCGGGCACATTCTTTACCGTCTCAGCTACAGGGAGGAATATTTGTAAATATTTGAATATTTGTAAATATTCAGAGCACTTTGCAAACTATAGGGAGAATCAGATTGAGCATGTGTCAATCTGAGGACCCTGTCTTATCAAGGACCATAACACAGGCAAGATGTGTAAAATCTTAACTTTTGCCTTATTAAATACACCCAGGCACAGAAGAAACATATTTTGAGTGGTTTTGATAGGCAAAAGCAATATTAGGGTTCACATGTGTAGAGAGTTCATCTGATCAAATAGAGTTGACCCAGAGGCTGAATTTTTAAAGGGGAAGAGGAAAAAAATAAAGATTTTTTTTTTTTTTTTGGCTGTGCTGTGTCTTTGTTGCTCCATATGGCCTTATTTCTCCTGAGGCATGTGGGATTATAATTCCCGGACCAGAGATCAAACCCGTATCCCGTGTGTTAGAAGGCAGCTTCTTAACCAATGGACCACCAGGGAGGTCCCTATCATTTTTTTAAGAAGTCGTTTTTTTAACTGGAAGATTTCTTTCTGCAGAGTCACAAAAGGATAAAAAGTTCAGTCTTCTCCCCATTCTGAAAGCAGACCCCAGGGGGCCACACAGGTCACAAACAGGCTGATTTGGGGCCACAGGGTGTGGGCGCAGGTGGGCAGAGTCTGCAGTGAGCTAAAGGTCAAGGTGAGGTCAGCACCCCTCTGGGTGTTTCATCACCTCAGCGCTTCTTCTACATGTTAGTTACCCTGGGCTTGGGCTCTGCCATCCTCCCAGTCCTCTCTCCACTGAGGTTTTCCACACCCATGACTACAAAATAACCTATATAGGCATCATGGTGTCTCCCATAGGTCTGTTTCCTAAGCTGACATCCACTCTGAACTCCAGATTCATTTCTCTGGCTACCTGCATGACACTTCCACTTGCAGATTTGACATGGCATGCCTTCTCCAAATTCCCATCCCAGCTGTGCCCTTGGCAAAAGACCCCAAATCGATCAAATGGCACCACCATCAACCCAGGTTAAATTTGACTTATTTTCTCCATATCTCCCTCTTCCTCTCTGGTCCATGCAGAAACCTTGCTGATGTATCCAAATCCATCTGCAGTGTGTCTACATCTCTGCATCCTCCACTCCAGTTCATCCACCATTTCACCTGGACCAGCTGTGATACCTGCTAGCTGGTTTCCCAGCTTCAACCCTTCCCACTCTACATTCCTCAATGCACCCAGTACCACTGACTTCATATTCAGGGGGATTCATTTTACTTTATATTCCATATCACAAATTGAGCTTCATTCATGAGCTTATATTTTTCACCCTCCAATGGCTGTACAGAATCACCCTCAATAGAATTGAAGTAAATTTTGAGTGCTACCATGGTACTTTATCTCAGCGTGGTACAGTTCAAGTAAAACATCACAGGTGGATATTTTTTAAGGGTAGCATCCATGCTCAACAGTGGTGACCACAGGAAGTTCTGTCTCTAGGAAAGCCAGCCCTGCTACACTTAGATTGTCACTGTAGGCCACGGTGAGCTTGTCAGAGAGGGACTCTGCTATGCCAGCATCCAGGAAGCCCATCTTGCTACCCAGAAGTCTGCTTCAAACAAAATGAAGACCCCTTTATTTCATTCCCTTCCCAATCCCTCTCCCTTCACTGTTTCTGGAGATCAACCCCAATCATGATTTTCAGGCCATATTTTTATTGCTCATCTATTGACAGGCACCCACATTCACCAGCGCCTTTCCTCACCCACACCCACCCCATATACAACATTGTTTGTTAGGGGAAGGTGCATTTTGTATTGTTCAGGGTCCCATGGAACCCCTTCTCCCTCCCTCTGTGCAGATCTTGAGCTGCCTGTGGACAGGGTTAGCTCAAGAGACTCCCGGATAGCTGTTTTAAAACTTGAAAGGTTAAGGGTTTGCACGCATGAATCAACAAGGGACCTTTATTTCTTCAGGAAGCAATTTATTGGAAGAACTGGCAACACTGAAAGAAGGAAAACTTAAGTCAACTTATTCTGCAAGGGCAATACTGCAGACTTCATGGCAGGCAGGGTGACCGTGGCCACTCACCCAGGACTCGGGGGAAAGTCCAGTCTAGGATCAGTCCTCCTTGTCGCCGTGGCCCAGGGTGAGCTTGTCAAGGACGTCGTCTGCCAGGCCGCCTTCCGGGGACCCCGCGTTGCTCAGGTTGCTGACATGGTCCTCTAACTCCTTGATAAACTTGACCTGCTGGTCCAGGTAGCCGGTCTCCAGGAAGTGGCACAGGTCAGTGTCGCAGCTCTCAATGGCCAGCTGGTACAGGTCGAGCAGGCTCTGGTTGACGCACTTCTCCAGGTGCAGGGTGTCTTGCATGGCCTGGAGCCCGCTCTCCCACTCTTGGCTCTCGGGCTTTCTGATGCCGAGGAAAGAGACGCGGCCCCCACGCTCTTTCTGCAGGAACATCAGGCTCTCCGCTGTCTTGCTGTGCTCGTGGGAGCCAAGCAGGAAGAAGCGGGAGAAATGCTTCAGGGCCACGTCATCACGGTTGAGGTAGAAGGCCACGGCCAGGCACTGGAACGAGGCGTGGAACTCCAGGGCGGCGTGATTGTTGACCGCGGCCTCACACTCGGGGCGGTTGTTCTGACGCACCTCCGAGGTTGGTGTGGGCACCAAGTCGGGCGACTCCAAGACCGAGAGAATGGTGGCTCGGACGTCGCGAGTGTGGGCCCAGCATCGGCGGGGGCGCGGGCGCCAGCGGCCTCCCCGCAATCTTCCCATGGTGGACGGTGTGGGCGGCCGGAGGCGAGCTCCGGGCCAGAGGGCAGGTGGCTGGGTGAGGGCTTGGGAGGGTGGGGTAATGGCGTCCGCTGGGCGGGGTCAGTGCCTGGGCTTGAGATTGGTTAAAGAGGAGCCTACGTAAGTGGGCGGGATCTGTGGGCGGGGCGAGACCACTGTCTATCAAAGCCAGGGGGAGGCAGAGCTGCTTTGAGCTGAGTACTTCGCATCTAGAAAGTTTTCCATTTGCCGTAATACTTTTTTACCAAGGACTTTCTCTTATTCTCTAATTGCTCCCTTTTATAGCACCCTGTTCCCATTTTATAAGCCCACTGTCGTGTTTACAGTACTGAGAATATGAATTTGGATTTTTTTTGATAATGGTTTCTTCTGTTTCCTGTAGTATATATTTTTTTTCTCCAAAAATACTTCTGTTCATTCATCATGATCTCTTTCACTTCCGTCAAATATCTGGTAAACATTTGTCCATCTATATTTGGGAGTAAAAGACCCAGGTTTGATCCGTGCATCTGGAAGATCCTCTGGAGAAGGGAATGGCTACCTACTCCAGTATTCTGGCCTGGAGAATCCCTTGGACAGAGGAGCCTGGCGGGCTATAGTCAGTGGGGTCGCACAGAGTCCGACGCGGCTGAACGGCTAACACTTGCTCTTTTTCATTGTGATTTCACCCTCCCCTCCCTTGCCTGGTGGGTCTTATTATGATTACAAGAGGTGCCTCACTAACAAACCTTAGGGAACTTTGCAATGAAAACATGGCTTATTACTCACAGGTCCTGGAGGATGGACGGCATGCGTCAGGCTCCACAGCCGGGTCATGGGTAGAAGGTGAGTACACGTGTGGCCTGCGGCACACTTACTGGGGTCTAGGATGGGATGCCTAGAGTGTTACAGATTGAGTCTTTCTTGGTGAATTTAAAACATGAGCGTGAAATAAAATGTCAGCCAGGAAAAACAAGTGGTCAGATGGTCAGTTATCCTAGTCATCCAGTGATCTCTAAAACAAAGGAAACTGCTGCAAACAGAGTTTTACTACTTCTTTTCTAATCTGGATTCCTTTTATTTCTTTTTCTGCTCTGATTGCTGTGGCCAAAACTTCCAAAACTATATTGAATAGTAGTGATGAGAGTGGGCACCCTTTTCTTTTTTCTTACTTTAGGGGAAATGGTTTCAGTTTTTCATCATTGAGGATAATGTTTGCTGAGGGTCTGTCATTTATAGCTTTTATTATGTTGAGCTATGTTCCTTCTATTCCTGCTTTCTATAGGTTTTTTTTTGTATCATAAATGGATATTGAATTTTGTCAAGTGATTTCTCTGCATCTATTGAGATAATCATATGGTTTTTATTTTGCAATTTGTTAATGTGGTGTATTACATTGATTAATTTGTGGATATTGAAGTATCCTTGCACCCCTGGTAAAGCCCACTTGGTCATGATGTATGATCTTTTCAATATGTTGTTGGCTTCTGTTTGCTAGAATATTCTTAAGGATTTTTGCATCTATGTTCATCAGTGATATTGGCCTATAGTTTTCTTTTTTCGTGGCATCTTTGTCAGGTTTTGGTATTAAGGTGATGGTGGCCTCATAGAGTTTGGAAGTTTACCTTCCTCTGCAATTTTCTGAAAGAGTTGAGTAGGATAGGTGTTAGTTCTTCTCTAAATTTTTGGTAGAATGCAGCTGTGAAGCTGTTTGGTCCTGGGCTTTTGTTTGTTGGAAGGTTTCTGATTACAGTTTCGATTTCCGTGCTTGTGATGGGTCTGTTGAGATTTTCTATTTGTTCCTGTTCAATTTTGTAAAGTTGTACTTTTCTAAGAATTTGTCCATTTCTTCCAAGTGGTCCATTTTATTTGCATGTAGTTGCTGATGATAGTCTCATATGATCCTTTGTATTTCTGTGTTATCTGTTGTGATCTCTCCATTTTCATTTCTAATTTTGTTGATTTGATTTTTCTCCCTTTGTTTCTTGATGAGTCTGGCTAATGGCTTGTAAATTTTATTTACCTTCTCAGAGAACCAGCTTTTGGTTTTGTTGATTTTTGCTATGGTTTCTTTTGCTTCTTTTGCATTTATTTCTGCCCTAATTTTTAAGATTCCTTTCCTTCTACTAACCTTGGGGTACATAATTTCTTCCTTCTCAAGTTGCTTTAGGTGTAGAGTTAGGTTATTTATTTGACTTGTGTTTTTGTTTCTTGAGGTGAGCCTGTATTGCTATGAACCTTCCCCTTAGCACTGCTTTTACAGTGTCCCATAGGTTTCAATTGTTGTGTTCTCATTTCATTTGTTTCTATGGCTATCTTGATTTCTTTTGTAAACTTCTGTGATGGGGGAGCCTGACTTTGATTTAGTCTGGTAGCTGGCACTGTGTTTATATAAGACAGCTGCCGGTGATGTGGATGCCTTGGCAATCAACAGCTTAAGATCGGGCACTTACGTTACAATAAAAGAAAGTTAAAAAAAAGCTTTTGCACAACAAAGGAAACTATAAGCTAGGTGAAAAGACAGCCCTCAGATTGGGAGAAAATAATAGCAAACGAAGCAACAGACAAAGGATTAATCTCAAAAATACACAAGCACCTCCTCCAGCTCAACTCCAGAAAAATAAATGACCCAATCAAAAAATGGGCCAAAGAACTAAACAGACATTTCTCCAAGGAAGACATACAGATGGCTAACAAACACATGAAAAGATGCTCAACATCACTCATTATCAGAGAAATGCAAATCAAAACCACAATGAGGTCCCATTACACGCCAGTCAGGATGGCTGCTATCCAAAAGTCTACAAGCAATAAATGCTGGAGAGGGTGTGGAGAAAAGGGAACCCTCTTACACTGTTGGTGGGAATGCAAACTAGTACAGCCGCTATGGAGAACAGTGTGGAGATTTCTTAAAAAACTGGAACTAGAACTTCCATATGACCGAGCAATCCCACTTCTGGGCATACACCCCGAGGAAACCAGATCTGAAAGAGACACATGCACCCCAATGTTCATCGCAGCACTGTTTATCATAGCCAGGACATGGAAGCAACCTAGATGCCCATCAGCAGACGAATGGATAAGGAAGCTGTGGTACATATACAGCATGGAATATTACATACAGCATGGAATATTACTTAGCCATTAAAAAGAATTCATTGGAATCAGTTCTAATGAGATGGATGAAACTGGAGCCCATTATACAGAGTGAAGTAAGCCAGAAAGATAAAGAACATTACAGCATACTAACACACATATATATATGGAATTTAGAAAGATTTTAATGATAACTCTATATGCAAAACAGAAAAAGAGACACAGATGTACAGAACAGACTTGTGGACTCTGTGGGAGAAGGCGAGGGTGGGATGTTTCAAGAGAACAGCATCGAAACATGTATATTATCTAGGGTGAAACAGATCACCAGCCCAGGTTGGATGCATGAGACAAGTGCTTGGACCTGGTGCATTGGGAAGACCCAGAGGGATCGGGTGGAGGGGGAGGTGGGAGGGGGGATCGGGATGGGGAACACATGTAAAACCATGGCTGATTCATGTCAATGTATGACAAAACCCACTACAATATTGTAAAGTAATTAGCCTCCAACTAATAAAGATAAATGAAAAAAAAAAGTTAAAAATTGACATAACAAAGAAAAACAACTCAGGGTAGTTGTTCCCTGGTAGTCCAGTGGCTACAACGCCAGGCTCCCAGTGCAGGGGGCGTGGGTTCAATCGCTGGTTGGGGAAGTAGATCCCACCTACTGCAGCTAAGACCCAGTGCAGCCAAAGAAAACAAAACAACTCAGGTGCTTAGAGTACAATCCAGCCTGTGATGCTGAGACAGGAGAGTTAGGAGCTGAGGATGTAAACAGCCTTCAGGATTTGTAGGCAGGGGGGCTGTCTCTTTCTGGGTGCACCTTTTGGCCTGAGAACTGACTGACAGTCTGAGGGGCCTCTTGGTCTAGGGTTGGGTCAGTCAGCAAGCGCCCAGCAAGTTCCGCCGGGTAACACCATAGCGGCTCATCCTCCGGTGCCATCAGGCAGTGCACTTAGTCCATTGTTTCAGGAACGTCTCAGTCCCCGTTGCAGTGTTCCACAATGTGAACTCGGGAGCAAGTCATCTGGGTGAGCAGCTGCATCTCCAGCATGGTACCATGGCCCTGGGGTGTCATCTCCAGTGGACGAGGCATAGGTGTCTCCAGTGGTGAACTCCTGGCCTGGGATGATGTCGCCTGGGATGGTATCATCTCCAGCGATGAGTCTGTCTCACTCACGAGTGAGGTCCTCTGGAGTGGAGGCCACCCAGGGGTGGGAACCCATGTGGATATGCAGTATTGGTCATCGGCTGGGCATAGGCTGGCCTGATATAACGTAGAGGCTTCCCTGAGGATTGCAGGGCATATCTGATGCCTGCTGCTTGTGGACAAATTGTTGAGAGCTCTCCTGGGTCATCAAGGACATCTTTAGCAGTGGAATGAGTGGCTGTCCTTTCCTTCCTGGAAGAGCTCATCCAAAGCACATGAATATTCTGGGCACACTTATATCCCAGGCTAGAGTCAATCTTATGGATGCTACTTAGGCACTACCATGAGGGCAGTCCCGGCACAGATCCCGGGAGCGCATTCCCCACATCCAGATGGGTTTTATGTAGGAGCCATCGTAGGGCCAATTGGCTTGTAGCAGTATTTGATGTTGATCCTGGAGGGCAAGTGTCGTTTGGATGTTGCTTCCAGAGAGCCTGTTGCCTTTAAGGAGTACCCTGGTGATTCAGAGGGCAAAGAACCTGTCTGCCACGTGGGAGACACGGATTTGATCCCTGGGTCGGGAGGATCCCCTGGAGACGGGAATGGCTACCCACTCCAGTATTCTTGTCTGGAGGATCCCATGGACAGAGCAGCCTAGCAGGCTACAGTCCATAAGGTTGCAAAGAGTCAGACATGACCGAGTGACTGACAGTACACTACTAACCTTAGATTACTTGGCATTTAATAAAGGTGATTGTCAGAGGCTTTACACTTCACGTGCCTCTTTAAAGGCTATTGCTTTTCAGTTCCGATACTCGGCACCAGGCTGGAGTTTTCCTACGACTGGGTCAGCGGTCTTGGCTCTTCCTGGCCTCCCCTCAAATCAAGCATTCTCTCTTACCTTTTGCAGAATTTATTCAGGGACATCTGAAGTTTGTCTTTCCATTGTCATAGCACAGCTTGGAGGGTACAGGCTTGACCTAGGGAGGAGTACTTTAGTGTCTACTGTTTCTGGTGAGAAAGTCACTTGGGCATTTCACTTTGTTAGATTTTTCCCCCAGTAAGGGGATAGGGCATTCAGGCAGATACAGAAAGCTGTGCCCTACATATGGTTTTTTTTCTCCCCCAATTATGTAAGATCTTAGGTAGAAAATGGAGACTATACATATTCGAATGCTCTGGATCGACCTCAATCATCTAGTGCTTTAGGAATTTCTTTCATTGGTTATTGCCCTGCCTGAGGGCAATTTAAAAGATACTAATTTTAAATGTTTAAATTTAAATTAAACCTTTACAATATAATAAACCATCTACTCTTTTAAGCAATACTTTTTTGATCCCTATTTTACATATGAGAAAACAGAGGAACAGGGAAGGTAATTAACACTCTCCAATGCCCTCTTTAGTAAGTGGCTAGACTGGGAATTGAACCCAGGCCGTCTGTGTGGTAGAATCCACGACACCAAACTGTTTCTCTGAAACAGGAGAGTAAGAAGGACCTTGAGGCTTCCCTGGTGGCTCCGTGGGAAAGACTCCGCCTGCCAAAGCAGGAGACCTGGGTTTGGTCTCTGATCCGGGAAGATCCCACATTTCGCAGAGCACCTCAGCCTGCGCATCACAACCACTGAACCGGTGCTCTCGAGCCGGGAAACCACAACTGCTGAGCCCCTGGCCCCGACTACTGAAGTCCAAGCGCCTCGAGCCCATGGTGTGCAAGAGGCGAAGCCACCACCGTAAGAAACCCACATACCGCAACTAGAGAAAAGCCTGCGCAGTAACGAAGCCCTAGCACAACCGAAAAGTCAATTTCTAGTTATAAAGACGAACAGCTTCTCACCGGGTGCTTGCTGCTATCTAGAGGAGCACGGTGAATTGACATATGCAGGATCTGAGATATTGTCAGAGAGAGGAAAATGAAAGTGTTAGTCACTCAGTCGTGTCTCACCCTTTGCGAACCCATGGACTGTAGCCCGCTAGGCTACTCTGTTCATGGAATTCTCCAGGCAAGAACACTGGAGTGGTTTGACATTCCCTTCTCCCAGAGACTAAACCCGGGTCTCCTGCATTGCAGGCAGATTCTTTACCGTCTGAGCCACCATGGAATGCCCATCGGAGAAAGAGGAGAGATCCTCAATGGGAGCGGAGAATGAAACATTGAAAAGAGCCCGGTTGTCTCAGCACAAAGCAACAAGCACATCTTCTGGAAATTTAAGTGAAGAGACTTTATCCTCATTCAAAAAAAATATTCAAGTGCCATCATGATGAAATGGGAAAGTTAATTCCTTCGTAGCCAAGCTTGTTTATATCTTTGTAAATATTCAAACCAAGACTTAGTCGCTCAGTCATGTCAGACTCTCTGTTATCCCATGCATTGTAGCCCACCAGGCTCCTCTGTCCATGGAATTCTCCAGGCAAGAGTACTGGAGTGGGTTGCCATTCCTTTCTCCAGGGGATTTTTCTGACCCAGGTATCAGACCCAGGTCTCCCACATTGCGGGCACATTCTTTACCATCTGAGCTACAGGGAGGAATATTTGTAAATATTTGAATATTTGTAAATATTCAAAGCAGTTTGCAAACTTTAGGGAGACTCAGATTGAGCATGTGTCAATCTGAGGACCCTGTCTTATCAAGGACCATAAGACAGGCAAGATGTGTAAAATCTTAACTTTTGCCTTATTAAATACACCGAGGCACAGAAGAAACATATTTTGAGTGGTTTTGATAGGCAAACGCAATATTAGGGTTCACATGTGTAGAGAGTTCATCTGATCAAATAGAGTTGACCCAGAGGCTGAATTTTTAAAGGGGAAGAGGAAAAAAATAAAGATTTTTTTTTTTTTTGGCTGTGCTGTGTCTTTGTTGCTCCACATGGCCTTATTTCTCCTGAGGCATGTGGGATTATAATTCCCGGACCAGAGATCAAACCCGTATCCCATGTGTTAGAAGGCAGCTTCCTAACCAATGGACCACCAGGGAGGTCCCTATCATTTTTTTAAGAAGTCATTTTTTTAACTGGAAAATTTCTTTCTGCAGAGTCACAAAAGGATAAAAAGTTCAGTCTTCTCCCCATTCTGAAAGCAGACCCCAGGGGGCCACACAGGTCACAAACAGGCTGATTTGGGGCCACAGGGTGTGGGCGCAGGTGGGCAGAGTCTGCAGTGAGCTAAAGGTCAAGGTGAGGTCAGCACCCCTCTGGGTGTTTCATCACCTCAGCGCTTCTTCTACATGTTAGTTACCCTGGGCTTGGGCTCTGCCATCCTCCCAGTCCTCTCTCCACTGAGGTTTTCCACACCCATGACTACAAAATAACCTATATAGGCATCATGGTGTCTCCCATAGGTCTGTTTCCTAAGCTGACATCCACTCTGAACTCCAGATTCATTTCTCTGGCTACCTGCATGACACTTCCACTTGCAGATTTGACATGGCATGCCTTCTCCAAATTCCCATCCCAGCTGTGCCCTTGGCAAAAGACCCCAAATCGATCAAATGGCACCACCATCAACCCAGGTTAAATTTGACTTATTTTCTCCATATCTCCCTCTTCCTCTCTGGTCCATGCAGAAACCTTGCTGATGTATCCAAATCCATCTGCAGTGTGTCTACATCTCTGCATCCTCCACTCCAGTTCATCCACCATTTCACCTGGACCAGCTGTGATACCTGCTAGCTGGTTTCCCAGCTTCAACCCTTCCCACTCTACATTCCTCAATGCACCCAGTACCACTGACTTCATATTCAGGGGGATTCATTTTACTTTATATTCCATATCACAAATTGAGCTTCATTCATGAGCTTATATTTTTCACCCTCCAATGGCTGTACAGAATCACCCTCAATAGAATTGAAGTAAATTTTGAGTGCTACCATGGTACTTTATCTCAGCGTGGTACAGTTCAAGTAAAACATCACAGGTGGATATTTTTTAAGGGTAGCATCCATGCTCAACAGTGGTGACCACAGGAAGTTCTGTCTCTAGGAAAGCCAGCCCTGCTACACTTAGATTGTCACTGTAGGCCACGGTGAGCTTGTCAGAGAGGGACTCTGCTATGCCAGCATCCAGGAAGCCCATCTTGCTACCCAGAAGTCTGCTTCAAACAAAATGAAGACCCCTTTATTTCATTCCCTTCCCAATCCCTCTCCCTTCACTGTTTCTGGAGATCAACCCCAATCATGATTTTCAGGCCATATTTTTATTGCTCATCTATTGACAGGCACCCACATTCACCAGCGCCTTTCCTCACCCACACCCACCCCATATACAACATTGTTTGTTAGGGGAAGGTGCATTTTGTATTGTTCAGGGTCCCATGGAACCCCTTCTCCCTCCCTCTGTGCAGATCTTGAGCTGCCTGTGGACAGGGTTAGCTCAAGAGACTCCCGGATAGCTGTTTTAAAACTTGAAAGGTTAAGGGTTTGCACGCATGAATCAACAAGGGGCCTTTATTTCTTCAGGAAGCAATTTATTGGAAGAACTGGCAACACTGAAAGAAGGAAAACTTAAGTCAACTTATTCTGCAAGGGCAATACTGCAGACTTCATGGCAGGCAGGGTGACCGTGGCCACTCACCCAGGACTCGGGGGAAAGTCCAGTCTAGGATCAGTCCTCCATGTCGCCGTGGCCCAGGGTGAGCTTGTCAAGGACGTCGTCTGCCAGGCCGCCTTCCGGGGACCCCGCGTTGCTCAGGTTGCTGACATGGTCCTCTAACTCCTTGATAAACTTGACCTGCTGGTCCAGGTAGCCGGTCTCCAGGAAGTGGCACAGGTCAGTGTCGCAGCTCTCAATGGCCAGCTGGTACAGGTCGAGCAGGCTCTGGTTGACGCACTTCTCCAGGTGCAGGGTGTCTTGCATGGCCTGGAGCCCGCTCTCCCACTCTTGGCTCTCGGGCTTTCTGATGCCGAGGAAAGAGACGCGGCCCCCACGCTCTTTCTGCAGGAACATCAGGCTCTCCGCTGTCTTGCTGTGCTCGTGGGAGCCAAGCAGGAAGAAGCGGGAGAAATGCTTCAGGGCCACGTCATCACGGTTGAGGTAGAAGGCCACGGCCAGGCACTGGAACGAGGCGTGGAACTCCAGGGCGGCGTGATTGTTGACCGCAGCCTCACACTCGGGGCGGTTGTTCTGACGCACCTCCGAGGTTGGTGTGGGCACCAAGTCGGGCGACTCCAAGACCGAGAGAATGGTGGCTCGGACGTCGCGAGTGTGGGCCCAGCATCGGCGGGGGCGCGGGCGCCAGCGGCCTCCCCGCAATCTTCCCATGGTGGATGGTGTGGGCGGCCGGAGGCGAGCTCCGGGCCAGAGGGCAGGTGGCTGGGTGAGGGCTCTGGGAGGGTGGGGTAATGGCGTCCGCTGGGCGGGGTCAGTGCCTGGGCTTGAGATTGGTTAAAGAGGAGCCTACGTAAGTGGGCGGGATCTGTGGGCGGGGCGAGACCACTGTCTATCAAAGCCAGGGGGAGGCAGAGCTGCTTTGAGCTGAGTACTTCGCATCTAGAAAGTTTTCCATTTGCCGTAATACTTTTTTACCAAGGACTTTCTCTTATTCTCTAATTGCTCCCTTTTATAGCACCCTGTTCCCATTTTATAAGCCCACTGTCGTGTTTACAGTACTGAGAATATGAATTTGGATTTTTTTTGATAATGGTTTCTTCTGTTTCCTGTAGTATATATTTTTTTTCTCCAAAAATACTTCTGTTCATTCATCATGATCTCTTTCACTTCCGTCAAATATCTGGTAAACATTTGTCCATCTATATTTGGGAGTAAAAGACCCAGGTTCGATCCGTGCATCTGGAAGATCCTCTGGAGAAGGGAATGGCTACCTACTCCAGTATTCTGGCCTGGAGAATCCCTTGGACAGAGGAGCCTGGCGGGCTATAGTCAGTGGGGTCGCACAGAGTCCGACGCGGCTGAACGGCTAACACTTGCTCTTTTTCATTGTGATTTCACCCTCCCCTCCCTTGCCTGGTGGGTCTTATTATGATTACAAGAGGTGCCTCACTAACAAACCTTAGGGAACTTTGCAATGAAAACATGGCTTATTACTCACAGGTCCTGGAGGATGGACGGCATGCGTCAGGCTCCACAGCCGGGTCATGGGTAGAAGGTGAGTACACGTGTGGCCTGCGGCACACTTACTGGGGTCTAGGATGGGATGCCTAGAGTGTTACAGATTGAGTCTTTCTTGGTGAATTTAAAACATGAGCGTGAAATAAAATGTCAGCCAGGATAAACAAGTGGTCAGATGGTCAGTTATCCTAGTCATCCAGTGATCTCTAAAACAAAGGAAACTGCTGCAAACAGAGTTTTACTACTTCTTTTCTAATCTGGATTCCTTTTATTTCTTTTTCTGCTCTGATTGCTGTGGCCAAAACTTCCAAAACTATATTGAATAGTAGTGATGAGAGTGGGCACCCTTTTCTTTCTTCTGACTTTAGGGGAAATGGTTTCAGTTTTTCATCATTGAGGATAATGTTTGCTGAGGGTCTGTCATTTATAGCTTTTATTATGTTGAGCTATGTTCCTTCTATTCCTGCTTTCTATAGGTTTTTTTTTGTATCATAAATGGATATTGAATTTTGTCAAGTGATTTCTCTGCATCTATTGAGATAATCATATGGTTTTTATTTTGCAATTTGTTAATGTGGTGTATTACATTGATTGATTTGTGGATATTGAAGTATCCTTGCACCCCTGGTAAAGCCCACTTGGTCATGATGTATGATCTTTTCAATATGTTGTTGGCTTCTGTTTGCTAGAATATTCTTAAGGATTTTTGCATCTATGTTCATCAGTGATATTGGCCTATAGTTTTCTTTTTTCGTGGCATCTTTGTCAGGTTTTGGTATTAAGGTGATGGTGGCCTCATAGAGTTTGGAAGTTTACCTTCCTCTGCAATTTTCTGAAAGAGTTGAGTAGGATAGGTGTTAGTTCTTCTCTAAATTTTTGGTAGAATGCAGCTGTGAAGCTGTTTGGTCCTGGGCTTTTGTTTGTTGGAAGGTTTCTGATTACAGTTTCGATTTCCGTGCTTGTGATGGGTCTGTTGAGATTTTCTATTTGTTCCTGTTCAATTTTGTAAAGTACTTTTCTAAGAATTTGTCCATTTCTTCCAAGTGGTTCATTTTATTTGCATGTAGTTGCTGATGATAGTCTCATATGATCCTTTGTATTTCTGTGTTATGTGTTGTGATCTCTCCATTTTCATTTCTAATTTTGTTGATTTGATTTTTCTCCCTTTGTTTCTTGATGAGTCTGGCTAATGGCTTGTAAATTTTATTTACCTTCTCAGAGAACCAGCTTTTGGTTTTGTTGATTTTTGCTATGGTTTCTTTTGCTTCTTTTGCATTTATTTCTGCCCTAATTTTTAAGATTCCTTTCCTTCTACTAACCTTGGGGTACATAATTTCTTCCTTCTCAAGTTGCTTTAGGTGTAGAGTTAGGTTATTTATTTGACTTGTGTTTTTGTTTCTTGAGGTGAGCCTGTATTGCTATGAACCTTCCCCTTAGCACTGCTTTTACAGTGTCCCATAGGTTTCAATTGTTGTGTTCTCATTTCATTTGTTTCTATGGCTATCTTGATTTCTTTTGTAAACTTCTGTGATGGGGGAGCCTGACTTTCATTTAGTCTGGTAGCTGGCACTGTGTTTATATAAGACAGCTGTCGGTGATGTGGATGCCTTGGCAATCAACAGCTTAAAATCGGGCACTTACGTTACAATAAAAGAAAGTTAAAAAAAAGCTTTTGCACAACAAAGGAAACTATAAGCAAGGTGAAAAGACAGCCCTCAGATTGGGAGAAAATAATAGCAAACGAAGCAACAGACAAAGGATTAATCTCAAAAATACACAAGCACCTCCTCCAGCTCAACTCCAGAAAAATAAATGACCCAATCAAAAAATGGGCCAAAGAACTAAACAGACATTTCTCCAAGGAAGACATACAGATGGCTAACAAACACATGAAAAGATGCTCAAGATCACTCATTATCAGAGAAATGCAAATCAAAACCACAATGAGGTCCCATTACACGCCAGTCAGGATGGCTGCTATCCAAAAGTCTACAAGCAATAAATGCTGGAGAGGGTGTGGAGAAAAGGGAACCCTCTTACACTGTTGGTGGGAATGCAAACTAGTACAGCCGCTATGGAGAACAGTGTGGAGATTTCTTAAAAAACTGGAACTAGAACTTCCATATGACCGAGCAATCCCACTTCTGGGCATACACCCCGAGGAAACCAGATCTGAAAGAGACACATGCACCCCAATGTTCATCGCAGCACTGTCTATCATAGCCAGGACATGGAAGCAGCCTAGATGCCCATCAGCAGACGAATGGATAAGGAAGCTGTGGTACATATACAGCATGGAATATCACATACAGCATGGAATATTACTCAGCCATTAAAAAGAGTTCATTGGAATCAGTTCTTATGAGATGGATGAAACTGGAGCCCATTATACAGAGTGAAGTAAGCCAGAACGATAAAGAACTTTACAGCATACTAACACATATATATATGGAATTTAGAAAGATTTTAATGATAACTCTATATGCAAAACAGAAAAAGAGACACAGATGTACAGAACAGACTTGTGGACTCTGTGGGAGAAGGCGAGGGTGAGATGTTTCAAGAGAATAGCACCAGAACATGTATATTATCAAGAGTGAAACAGATCACCAGCCCAGGTTGGATGCATAAGACAAGTGCTCGGGACTGGTGCACTGGAAGACCCAGAGGAATCGGGTGGAGAGGGAGGTCGGAGGGGGGATTGGGATGGGGAATACATGTAAATCCATGGCTGATTCATGTCAATGTATGACAAAAACCACTACAATATTGTAAGGTAATTAGCCTCTGACTAATAAAAATAAATGAAAAAAAAAAGAAAGTAATTGCCATTCTGTTTTCCCAAGTGTCCGCATAATTTCTCATTTCCATTAGCAATGTGTGAAGGTCCAATTTCTATAATGTTTTGGCAATACACAAAACTGCTTATTTACTTTACATCATAGCCATTCTACTCGGTGTTAAGTAGTAACTTATTGTGATTTTTAAAAAATTTCTCTAATTACTAA